ATGACTTCCAAACAAATACCACCACCAAGGTTTGGAGGCGGTACTAGCTATGCAGAATGGAAAAATAAGTTGGACATGTGGATTTTAATAACAGAAGTGCCAAAGGAAAAGCAGGCAATTTTGGTGCGTCTGCAGTCGCTTGATGGAAATAATAAAGCTGAGAAAGCTGTGTCAGAGTTAACTAGTGAACAGTTGAAAGCTGATGATGGGTTGGACAAACTTCTTGGAAAACTTGATGGTGCATTTCAGTCAGAGAAAACTGATGAGGCCTATTTAGCCTACACGCTATTTAGTAAATATCAGAAAAGTTCTGATATTTCAACGGTGGATTTTATCCTGGAGTTTGAACACCGGTATGCTAGACTTGTAAAATATGACATGAAGCTACCAGATACCATTCTGGCTTTTAAGATATTAGATGCTGCAGGCCTAACTCATCAACAGCGCCAAATGGTTCTTACTGTTGGAAGCGACTTGAAGTTCGAATCTAAGAAATCAGCCTTAAAAAGGATTCTTTCAAAGCAAGATGGCGATGAAAAGAATTATGATTTTGATGAAGATGATGTTGCATCGAATATTAAAAAGGAAAATGCATTTGTGACTCGTGATACCGGTACTGGTAGGCCAAAATTTAAGAAAGAATTTTTCAAAGAGAGATCGAGATACGCCACCGGTAGTGGCGGAGGAGCAAAGCAGCGATACAAGCATCATGAATCGACAGTGAAAGCTCAACTGAATCCACGGGACAAATACGGAAATATATCTAGATGTGCAATTTGTGAATCAAAAATGCACTGGGCCAAACAATGTCCACATGAGAAGAATCAAGTATATTGTTCCGATGCGCAAGATGGTGTTTGCGAACAAATACAAATGGTTTTGATAACAGATGGAAATTCTTCAGATATTTTTGAAGTTGAAGCTGCCAAGGCTGCAATAGTAGATACTGCTTGCACGAAGACAGTAGCTGGTAAAAAATGGTTCAGGAATTATCTTGGGCTCTTAAACGAAAACTTGTCGAGCAGAGTTGAGATTTTTCCTTCAATGAAGAGATTTAAATTTGGAGATGGGAAAGGAATTCAGACTGAGAAAAAGGCTATAATTCCTGTACAAATTGGCCGAACGTTGCTGAGAATGGAGGTTGAAATTGTGAATGAAGAAAACTTGCCATTGTTACTCAGCAAAAGCACACTAAAGCGTGCAGGCACTGTACTTGACATGCAGAACGATCGTGCGGTAATGCTCAAGCAAGATCTTAAGTTGCATTTATCTACCAATGGACATTATGCGGTAGATATACTGCCTAAAATGAAGGCAGAAGTTGGTTGTCGTAATGAAATCCTTGCATCAGAAAGCACTGGGCATAAAGAATTTGGGAAAGCTGAAATTACAAAATTGCATAAACAGTTCGGCCATGCGTCACAAGACAAATTAAAGAAGCTCATTCAGAATGCAGGAAAATGGAATGCAGATCTTTCGAGCCTGATTGAAGAAACAGTCAGTGACTGTGAAATATGTAAAGTTTACAAAAAACCTTCGCCACGTCCAGTTGTAGGACTTTCATGGGCAAATGATTTTAATCAAACAGTGGCGGTCGATCTACATCAGCTAGGTTCGGATATGTGGTATTTGCATATGATTGATCACTTCACTCGATACAGTAGAGCTGCCATTGTGAGAAATAAATTTTCATCAACAATTGTAAAGAAATTCATGCAAAATTGGATCAGCATTTTTGGAAGTCCGGCTCGTATTCTGAGTGACAACGGCGGAGAATTTGATTCTGAAGTGTTCAAAGATATGTGTGGAAATTTAATATAACATTCACGACGACAGCTGCATACTCACCGTGGTCTAATGGACTCTGCGAGCGACACAATAGGACATTGACAGAAACATTGATGAAGATTAAGGCAACTGAGAAATGTGATATGGAAACTGCACTTGCTTGGGCTGTTAGCGCAAAAAACTCACTTGTGAATAACAATGGCTTCAGCCCTAACCAGCTTGTGTTTTGGAAGGATCCCACTTTGCCATCAGTTACTCATGATGACCCACCTGCCTTGGAATGTGAATCTATAAGTCTCACTGTAGCCAATAATATATTTGCAATGCAAGCTGCCAAAAAAGCAGTTATTGAATCAGAATCTTCCGAAAAAATAAGAAGAGCATTACGAACACAAACCCGACAGACTCGGGATGAATTCTTCACGGGAGAAGAGGTTTATTATAAGAGAGAGGATCAAAAACGTTGGAAGGGCCCTGCAAAAGTAATTGGGCAAGATGGACCGGTTATTTTTATACGACATGGCGGACAGCTAATCAGAGCACATTCATGCAGAGTCCAGCATGCCAACCGTTATCTTCAAGATTTTCCTCAGACAAAGGAGGTTTGCATTCCAACAAATTCTAATGATGGAATTGACGCTTCGTCTAATGGTAATGATCATATAGATATATTATAGAAGATGAGGAACAGTCTGTTCCAGAAATTCCAAATGAAAGCAATGATTCTGAAAATATGGATAATGACCAAAGTGCAATTGGCAATCCAGTTCAAGCAGCAACTGGTGGCAGACGTAATCTCAACTTGACTAAAGGCAAAATTGTCTCTTTTACATTAGCTGGTGAAGACTATGAAGCCAAAATCCTTAGTCGTGCAGGTAAATCAACCGGGAAATATGGGAAAAGCTACAATGTTGAATATTGTAATCCAGAAAGTTTTAGAGGAAAATCTGGGTACGTAGATTTTGATAAAGTGGAAAATCTGAACGAGAAGGAAATGGATGAAAACACTCACGAAGATGTGTTGGTCTTGGAAAATGTTGACTTTCTAGAAGCAAAGAAGTCAGAGTTGAAAAGCTGGAGACAAAATAAGGTCTACAATGAAGTCGAAAATGTTGGTCAACCAACAATTTCCGTACGATGGGTGTGTTCAATGAAAGATACTGAAGATGGAATCATTCCCAAAGCCAGACTTGTCGCAAGAGGCTTTGAAGAGCAAACTGACGATATTGCTAAAGAATCGCCCACCTGTTCAAAAGATTCACTCAGGGTTCTTATTGCCATTGTCGCACAAAAGAAATGGAAGCTTCATACGATTGACATTAAAACAGCTTTCTCACAGGGAAATTGTGTGGATAGAGAAATATTTTTTAAGCCTCCCAAAGAGGCTGGAACTACCAAGCTATGGAAACTAAACAAATGTGTTTATGGGTTAAGTGATGCATCACTCAAATGGTACAATCGACTAAAGAAGTTTCTCGTTGACCAAGGAGCAAAAGTATCAGCATCTGATTCAGCAGTATTCTATGTATACTGCAATGGGGAATTACAAGGAATAGCTGGGGTTCATGTTGATGATATTCTGTGGTCTGGCACAGAGTATTTTGAGAACAATTTGATTTCGAAACTGAGGTCAACATTTCTAATTAGCTCGGAGAAAAACGAGGCATTCAAATATTCGGGACTAGACATACAACAATCAGCCGATGAAATATTGATCAATCAAGAATTGTATGTAAAAAACCTTGAGACCATAAAAGTGACCTCAGATGATGCAGAGTGTCTTTCGTCTTCTCAAATAGATATTTTAAGAGCGAATATTGGTCGTCTTCTTTGGGCAAGCAATCAGACACGTCCTGACGTGAGCTATGATGTTTGTCAGCTTGCTTCTAACCTTAAAGATGGGAAGAAAAAAGATTTGCTCTATATAAACAAGATAATAAGAAGACTGAAAAACCAGCAATTATCATTGAAATACAAAAATTTAGGAAATGATGAATTATTAAAGATTGTCGTCTTCGCTGATGCTGCTTATGGTAACCTGAGAGATGGTGGAAGCCAAGGTGGCAATTTGGTGTTCTTGGTTGGAGAAAATAATGAATGCTCTCTGCTAAGCTGGCAGTCCAAGAGGATTCGTCGCGTTGCCAAAAGTACTCCCACAGCGGAAACACTGTCATTGTCAGACGCAGTTGACAATGCTGTTGGAGAAAATAATGAATGCTCTCTGCTAAGCTGGCAGTCCAAGAGGATTCGTCGCGTTGCCAAAAGTACTCTCACAGCGGAAACACTGTCATTGTCAGACGCAGTTGACAATGCTGTTTTTATCAAAGATATGTTTGCGGAGATATATTTTGGAAAACTCAAAAGCCTACAACTCGATGTCATAACCGACAATTGATCACTATGTGAAGCACTCCGATCCAGTAAAAATGTTTCCAACAAACGCTTACGAGTTGAAATAGGGATGCTGAAGGAGATGATTCAAAACAAAGAAATCAACAGCATAAGCTGGGTCGAATCGAAAAAACAATTGGCTGATGTTCTTACCAAAAAAGGGGCATCTCTTGAACGACTCGTTCAGTTTCCTAAACTTAAAATAAAACACAGTGAATTTGTTACTGTTCTGCTTTATTCATTTCAAGCACTGCATTCTTTCACTTTCGTTTTGCTTCCTTTATTATGTTCGCTCAGCCGTGAATAATTTTCTATTGTGTTTTGACTTCTGTTTTTACTGTTTGGGCAGCATGCTCATTATTAGTGTGTGGTTTTGTTAATCTGTATGAATCGATGTATTGACTTTGAACTGAGTTGTATTGTCAACTTTACAATTAGTTCCGACTTTCAAAATCGCTTACTGTAAATTTAGAGATTACTTCACCCTCATCAACGTGCTGTTCTTGGCAATGCTGAATGTCGACTAGAACGCAACTTATTTCTGCGACAATCAAGCTTGTATATATATATTTTTTTTATATTTCAACTAAATTATATTTTTTGATTTGTTTTGTTGAGGTTTGCAGTTAGCTCGTCACAATATTTCAATTACAATGGTTGATTACAATCAATTAACCTGGTGTGCCTCTTGGTCGGTAACATGCAAAATGCATGATTAAAATTTAAAAAATATATATTATATATTATGAAAATAAAAAAAAAGTTTGGATAGAAATGATTAGACTCGTGAAGAGGTCCTCAATATCAACTTCGTATTTCAGGACCAGGATCGTGACCAAGACATGGACCCGAATGGTTACGAACAAGACCAGAGCCAGGACCGTCCGGACGAAAGACAAATCCTGAGCCCGCTCGACCACGACAAAGACCTCCCAGAACAGGTCCAGGACCCCCCAGAACAAGTCGAGGAATTCCGCGATTCCGATTATACTGATCAAAGCCAGTACCTTTTCAACCAAGGCCAAGTCCAGGACCATCGCGATAAAGGCCAAGTTCAGGAACGGGTAATCATCATGAGTGTAATGTAATTGTCTAGAAACATTTTTGTATAAACATGGTTTTCTTCTATTTACTTGAATTGTTTCTAATTATTAGGAGACCAATCCACTAATCCAGTGGCTGGTCTTTCGTCTATTAGTTCCGACTTTCAAAATCGATTAAATAACTGCAGGGTGACTAAAATGAAAGTCATTGACGAGATATCCTTGGTTTATGTTTCACAATTACAGTCCAGCTTCTACGCAATGCTAATTGTTATTTTGAATTGGATAATGCAGTCCCGACAGAATAATCGTCTGTGTGTCAAATAAAATTATTGATTGATGATGACATACCTGTTTATGTGTGCAATTCTAAAAAAATATCGAGTAAAAAATGACAAGAGATTATTAAATGAATAGAAGATATCTTTTATTTTGAATATTCATTCCAGGTGACTCATGAGTGCCAATGAGATGAAAAAGACGAGAGTCTTTGCTTTTTTGTTAGATGTGGTCACGAATTAGTTTTTAATACCTTTAACACTGAAGTCTGTAATCAAATGTCCGGACTGGCATAAATGATGGGTATCACAACTTCTGATGTGTTTAGTGATATGAAATTTCAGATCTTCCAGTGTCTCCAATTTACTGCATAGCACACTTTTTGCATGCCTTTGGAATGCGTTTTCCGAAATGCACGTATATTTTCAGTCAACCCAGGCTTATAACCTCGTTTCTGCTTTTTTAAATTTTCTTCCTGTGGAATACTAAAGGAATTTTTGCAACACTTAAAATTCTGGAATTATTAAATAGGTACTTTTGGATTCGATTTTTATCTGACTAATTGGTCCTAGCGTAGAGCATTTTCAATAAGATAACGCCTGGGAAAAGTGGACCTGGGAAAATTTCTTTTACTCCCCGGTTATTGTTTAAATGTAATGTTAGTATGATAAGAACTAAAGTATTAGAAATACCGGAAAAATTTGGTTTATTCTGGGAAACTGTCCTCAGCTTATAGTTTGCCAGACTCGCATATATAATCCGATTTCATCTTGGATATGAATAGTTTCGAGCTCAAGATAACGAACCTTCAGTAACACCACAATGTAAAGTGGTAACTTAGTTATGTTATTTCCTAGTCAAGCACATGCACACGCTTTGACACTCAATCACTTTAACATACACATTTTAACATATCGGAGTTTTTGGAAGCTGAAAGTTATGAGTAGTGGACTAATGGAATGGCAGTATGAAAGCTTGTAGTTCATTTAGAACAGGGGTGTGCAACCTGCGGCCCGCGGGCCAAATGCGGCCCTCAAAGAAAAATTGTGCGGCCCGCGAAACGAGTTTGTAATTTGGTTCAATCTGGTAAGTGCGATAAATTCCAAGCCTATACCCGAGTTCTATTTATTATCTGTGACCATGACGTTACAATGCTCTAACAGCTAGCTTGGACGAAGTGAACAACGCTTTCCAGACTACATAGAATGTTAAAAAAAATTAATGTAGAAATAAGTAGCAAGAAACAGAATATAGACAATACCATTATTCATATATTACCAAATTTACATCTAAAAAACAACTCATATTTTTGATAAAAACGATGCTGAATTTTCAATCTGATCAAAAATTTCATTCACTGATAATTTTTTCAATGGTTTTTAATGACTTTTATGTTTTTGTTTACAGTAACCATTATTACCATGTCAAAATTTCATTAAATTATTAATTGGTTTCCGATATAAATGCTTCTCATTATGCTTTGAAAAAGCAGATTGTAATGGATGATACGTTAAACATATGATCCATCTGTCTGTAAATAAACCTTTGTTTGATTTATCACACGCATTTGTTTAGACACAGCACTCTATTATTTTTAGTCTCGTCCTGAATACAAAGTCACCGGTCTTTACGTAATGCACGTCGTTGTATGCAAAGCATGGCGTCAAATAGGACAGGATAAATATCTTTTCATTTCAAAAATAAGCAAAAATATTTTTGCCACTTTTGAAAGTTTATTTCAATGTCCGCCAGAAGAAAAGGTGGGATAATTGACTATGCATATTTTGCAACTGGTTGTGCCACAAGGCATGACTATGGTGTCAGAGATGTATTTTCAATCTTCGATGGACCAAACTTCAGAATCGCGGAGTCGAAAATCAATCTATTCTGTGGTCTCTCTTTATTGTTTGTAAGAAAGTCGTATTTTCAAACTCTCAAAACCTGCTTTTGTTTATTAGTTCAAAAAAGTCTATACAATTGCACACAGAAACTCCAGTAACAATAATAAATCTACCAATCTTAAAAATCTGTTTTAAGGATTACATGTGTAAAAGCTTTTGCGGACAAATTTTGATTTGAATCCCAAACTTATTTGTTCAATAGTATTTCATTAGATAGAAATTGTACTTTCGATATTTTATTACCGCTAACAACTAATGATTAATGAACCAATCAATCAATTCCAAAATCTTGGTACGACAAGACGAATAAGTCGCTATTGCTATAGTCGTAATTATTTATTTTTCTATTCTGCTGACATTGACCATTCCAATTATTTGTCGTCTATATGCATATATTTTTATCATCACTCTTCTAATTATTCATTTTAGCTGCAAATACTTAAAGTTCTGAAGCTTTGGAAGAAGTTTTATCCCTCCGAGATAATGCAACAACTAAGCTTAATAGGGGGCAACTCTAACTCTTTCGATCCAGCATCGATTATGCCTCCTGAGCATGAGGGTTTACCGGAAACTTATCCTCAACTTTCTGTCATGAATGACGTAAATCTTTAACTTTTTTGTTAATTCAGCACACATAATATCTTGTGAAAAAGGTGGGGTTCTAATAGACTTTGTTATAAAAAAAACGTATGAGCGCGCATTGGTGCATAAACTGGCAAAAATAGAAACGAAGAAATGCAATTTTTCTGCCAAAAAAAAAATGTTGCAGATTTCCCAACATTACTACAAATATTACCTAGTAGGAATGATCTTTTGGTGCGGTGTTATTCAACCGGGTATACTCTATACTCAAGTGTATACCAAGTCAGGTCCCGGGTATACATATAACAATTGGTATACGATGGAACACTGGAGCTATAGCCTGATTTAAATAATCAAATTCTCGGCCCGTTTTGTGTTTTTGAACGCGCACAGGTGCCGTTCAACTTTGGGACTCACTAATTCATAAAGTGTTTATTTATCCACGGACACAGCTTTTGCGAGATAAATTACATGAGCGAGTAGAAATTTTAATATGCAAAAAAATAATTTTTGCGGAGAGATACGAAGAAAAAGTCCGCGGCTACGTTATTTATGAGCTCAATCTCAGTCATACAGCAACGTGAATTTTGACGTAGTTTGTTAATTTAGCACACATATTATCTTATGACTAGAATAAGACTTCTGTCATGACTTCACAAAACAACTTTTTTCCAGGTTATATTAATAAATAACCTTAGTTATTTGCGAAGTATATATATACGGAAAAAATAAAAATTGAAAAATATTTAACACATAGTAAAACATTCAAGAGCACTATTTTAGTATATTTGATTGGGATCTGTCGTACACCTTCGACACTAAGTTTCAAATTAAAACCTATCTAGTTAGGAACAAATTGAAAAGTTATTCTATAACTATAGGAGTTGTGCAAAAGATCCCTAGGTTGAACCTAAATGTGCAAATAGGACTGAAGAAAATTTAAATATTTTGATTACATACTTGCTCTGCTGGCCAGATTTAATAGGCTTTCATCTTGTTCAGTGATGAATACCAGACAAATGACGAGGCTTTTCTTTTGATGAAATGATGTACTGCATCGCTAAGTTTCAATCAGTGTTTCAGAAAGCTGAAAATAAACGTATTTTTAGTTAAATCTCAAATTATCAGTGACGTATCTAGGTAATGACAGCTATAGCTACTATCATTGACGACTTTGGTTTCCGGCGCAAAAAGAGTGTAAAGTTCTAATCGTAACTTGTTACTATAAAATATTTCTGCCTAATCACGAATTCCAAGTTAAAGAGTTAAACGTGGAAGTTTTAATATCTGCAGTGGAATTTAGTGAATTTTACTAAAGTTAAAAGCTGGTTAAAAAAAATGGGTTCGTCAAATTATTTCAGAGGACCTTCATCGAACCCCCGGTACAGCATCCTCGAACTCTAGGAATACAATCGGACCCAAGTTAAGAAACACCGATATAGACAGTGCTGTTGTACTAGTAACACCTTATTCACTGGTTATTGGTCCAGTTAGTGAATTGTTCAGAATAATTGTGTCCACCTTTTTAACGCCAAATTACAGTTTTGTTGGGCAAAATAGTTAAATACATGGCGCGATTCTACGAAATGAAAATGGTCTGTTTGCAATAGACTTTGCCATTGGAAACGATGGGCGCATTGGTGCTTAAACTGGCAAATGGGGTAACGAAAAAACGCAATCTTTCTGCTATAATTAATATACAAAAAAAAGTTTTGCCGAATTTCACAAAATTACAATTATTGTAGAAGCTTGACGGGGTGTGACCTTATGCACCCTGCTTGCTACACAAAGACGAAGGGCGCTGATCAGTGTGCCAATAATTTCCAGTCTAAACGCTCTAGTCTATCCCAATACAGCAATATTTGCCTATGTTCGGTCCAGACAATCCTCTCCAATTTATCCCGTCTTATATCTAAGATAAGCAAGCTTGAAGTCCACAAGCCCACAATACGCAACTTTAAACACAGGAGAATTGTAATGCGTCGTGAAATTATCAAGCAGTTTCTCAGCACAAATATACAATCGAGATGTCAGATGGAGTCAAATGGATTACCGAAACAAATGACAAATACAGATAGATAGAGTTGAGATAGAGAGAGAGGTTTTCTGAAGAAAACAAAATACACTAGAAATACTATGAATTTGCCGCATAAATAACCAACATGCAATCAAATTATATCGCTTACCGACTGTTTTTAGCCAAGGTCAACAATATATCAAATCTTTTATGTAACTGCAGAACACTGAAATAAACATGAGCAAATAAGCACTACAGTAACAGTACTTAACCCTACAGCATTAATTGTGGCAATAAATATAATACCAACAGTATTTTATCCAAATAAGACTACTACATAACAAGCCAAATGCAATGAAATACAGAAAACTCACCAAGAATATTTCACAAAACAATCACAACGCAGGACAGATTCACAAATTGCAGTTCAATAATCCAGAGTTCAATGCAGCAAATTTTAAACTATTAGCAAGTTGAATAAGCATGTAACAAAGAAAACCATGTTTAGACCACTATAATTAATATGATACAGCTTTTCCTAATGTTAAAAAGCCATGGAAGTAACGCATTGCAACAGCAAACTAGCTGTGTACATTTACAATTTCATTCCAAACGCGAGGCGATACAATAACGATGTGAACACGCAAATTGCAGTAGACAAAAACCTTCTCGACTCGGTCTACAGATAATAAAGAAACACATCAAATGCGAGTAATGAAATGAGACGTTTGCAACGTTGACAAACGAAAAGGTGCAATACGTGTCAGCAATGAAGAAATAAACACTAATGGCGCTGGAGATCTTGATCTTTTAGTGCGTTGATATTCAACCGGGTATATCATAATAACTAAGTGCATGCCAAGTCATATCTCGGCTATACGAACAACAATTGGTAAACAGCTATAGACGGATTCGAATAAATGTCATGGCCCGTTTTTAGCTATGTTTTAAAAAAACAAATAAGTAATTTTCTAGTTAGGGTGAAGAACAATTTGTAAATTTTTATTTACAGCACAATCTGCAATTCTAACCCAACTCTGACACAATAATTACAAATTTATTACTCTCAACGTTAGCGGGGGTGTTTGGTTTTTACCGGAGGAGATGGTGAACAAAAGATACTTAAATTGATCGTAAATATGCAAATGAAGACTCAAAAGATTACATACTTGCTCTGCTGGCTAGACTTGATAAGCTTTCATCTTGTTCAGTGATGAATACCAGACAAATGACAACGACAAATTTATATCTGGATTAAATGAGGTTGTCAACTTTCAAGCAGTGTTTTAAAAAGCCGAAAATAAATGTATTTTTAGTTTCTCACGAAATATCATAAGCGTGTCTAAGATATTACAGCTATGGCTCCTGCACTAGGCGCCGAATAGCTGCACCAAACGCTAGGGGTCCAATCGAACCCAGGTTGAGAAACGTCTCCATACGCAGCGCCGTACTCATTACAGCATATTCACTGGTTATTTCTCTGGTTTGAGGGTCGCAACCTTTTGTCGCTCACGGGCCAAAAAGAAGGCTGCAAGTATCGGAGGCCGGACGTATTTTTAGAATGAAGAAAACCAAAAGGATTGTCGATGAATCGATATTTTTTCACACAGATCAGAAGTTCAAAGTTTAACCACCACGCGAAGAATGTTGCCTTACTTGTAGAAATTACAATTATTTTCTACCTTTTTAACGTAAAATTACGGCTTCATTGGGCAGATTAGTAGCAGATTAATATCCAGGGCGCGATTCTACAAAATGAAATTGGTCTGGTCCAAACTGGCTTTAACATAAAAATCAATGAGCGCACATTGGTGCTTAAAATGGCAAAAAGAAGAACAAAACAAATGCATTTTTTCCTGTTCTAAGTTAATTTTATACTCAATATACCCAAATAATGATAATTTGTTGCACAATTCACCAAAAACTACAAATTTCAATTAGTTAGATGATTATAATGAAATTTTAGTGCAGTGATAATTAACCGGTTGTACTATATACACAAGTGTATACTAAGTCAGATCCCAGGTATATAAATAATTATTCTGAACGCGAAAAAAAAATTTATTGGTGGAGAGATAAACAGAAAGTCTGCGGCTACCTTTGTTATTTGCGAGGTACATACAAAGAAAATAAAAATTGGAAATAAAAAGGTTTAACACATAGTAAAAGATTGAATAGCACCGTTTAGTGTATTAGATTGTGTTCATTCGTACAAAGTCCTCGAAATCAATGTAAAAATGTGAGGTATGATAAAAAAATAACCTTGCAAACCAACAGCCCTCGGAATTCGGACACAGCGATCAAGAGGGGGGTGTTTTTAAACTTTGTCATGGCCGCGATTTTGCGTAGATACATCCCTGCCAATAATTCAGAGTTTTCCCAAATTTATGAAATATTACTTATTTGGAATGATCTGTCATTACATTGTGTTGCACCTCATCATGTAAATTACAATTGACAAAGGTGTTATATTTCACCTTCTTATGAGAGTTCTCTCTAGAGTCACATTCATAAATGCAGACGTTTAATTTCATTAGATACTACTCGCCGTTTTAGAATATAACAAAAGTACAAATATTATTATAGCAAGAAACTACCCAATGACGTATTTTACAATTGTTTATGAAATATATAACCCATCACTTCTAGGCAGTAATATGTAGCATTATCACACTGTTTACGGGAATCAATAGATGTCGAAAAATCAATTAAAATGTTTAAATATTATTTACCTGTAGACTTTTTCCTCGGTTTCGCATCTTCATTATTTTTTCGTATCTTTCAAGTTCTGCATTTGGAAAATTAAGATATTAATAATAAACGGTTGCATAACTTTGAAGAATTTCTAAAGGCGTGAACGGGCTAAATCAAGCCTCAATGGCTAGAAAATATAAAAGCCATGGCAAGTAGGCTTGCACGTAATTTACGGATTTACGGAATTACGTAATTATTTGGAGTTACGGAAGGGAAGTTACGAATTACGTAAAGTCGTAATTAGTGCATTGAAACGAGC